CCCCGACCCCCGTCCCAGGCCGGCGGGGCCTCACAGAGCCTAGTGGAAACTTCTGGGCACCCACCGCAGCACCTGTGCCTCTGGCCCTGCGCTCCAGCCCCACCCGCTCCGGGAAGCCGCCGCTCCTACGGGCGTGGCATAGTCAGGGTGTCCAGGCCGGCCGGGCTATGGGAGCCCAGGCATCGGTTGGCACCATCCCCTCCCCTGCTGGGCATGGCGCGGGGGAGCTCAGTGTGGAAGCAGGGCCACTGGCGCAGGCTGGCCTCCGTTTCCCCACTCCTGCACCAGGGGGACTGAGCAGCCTCGGCTGGGGGTGTGCTGAGCAGCCCCCTCACTGCCCCGTGTGCCCAGGCTCCGTGCACGCCAGGGCCCTGCCAGGCGGACGGTGCCCTCGGGGCAGGAAGCGGGGAAGGCGGGACGCCCCTTCCCACCTGCCATCCCGTGGGTGAAACAGTTTCTCCGACCTCTTCTCAGGGCAGACAGCGTGGGGGGGAGCCCGAGGGGGTCCCCCGGTGCTCTCTGGGGTGGGGCGGGGAAGGGGTGGGGAGCCCCTCCCTGGACAAGAATTGTCCTCCCGGGTGGGGCGGGGTCTGCCTTCGACACTCACCGCTCCCAGGGCCTGAGGGGAGGCCACTGTGGCTGGGTGGAGCAGGGCCACCCCCAAAACCTGGGCCCAGGCCTGGGCAGGTCCCACCCAGCTCGGGAATGCGGGGTTCTCCCAACTGCCACGCTCCAGCTGCCCCAGTCAACCGGGCAGAGCCCTGCCTGGGCCAGTCAGCAGCGGGGGAACAGCTTGGGGGGGCCACCCAGCCTCCAGGTGACGTCCACCTCCCCCACCAGGCCCCAGATGAGGTGGGGACACCCTGAGGGGGGGGAGAAAACCAGATCCCCCAACCAGAAACGGGGCAGTGGGGTGGGGTCCCCGGTCCCTGGGGTGGGTGTGGCCAGGCAAGAAATGTGCCTCCCTGCGTCTCCCCTCGGACCACAGGAGACCTGGACGGCCCCCACCCCCGCCCCATGAGACGCAGGGACCCCCCAGCACCGCAGATGGGGGCCCTGTGGGGCTGTGCGGGCCACCGTGGGCCTGGGGTCTGCGTCCTCCACACTCCAGCCCAGGTGGCCTCAGGGCCGCAGTTTCCAAACGAGTCCAAGCATGGCCCGTGGGGGTGACGATCGTTTTGGGGCCCCCGCCGGAGGTCCAGCCCTCGGGGGGACACGAGTCAGGCCCCCTTCCCCGCGGCCTCAGGCCTGGCTGGTGAGGGCGGGCAAGGGAGCGGAGCGGACTTAGGGACGGGTCCTCACAGGCTCACTCGTCCTCCCCGAGCACGGAGACGCTGAGTGCGGGCAGGGGTCCCAGTCCCCCATGTGCAGCAGGCACCGGGGGAGGACGCGCCCGCAGCAGGCTTGACCGGAGGTCCCAGGAGCGCAGATGGAGAGGCCGCGTGCCCCGCTGTGCCCTGCACAGCCCACGCCTGCAGGACCCTGGCCCGCCGGCCGGTGTGCCAAGCCCCACATGGGCCAGGCCGCGGTCAGCCCCTGCGGGCCTGGACACAGCTCAGTCCCAGGAGACACGGTTCCTGGGAACAACCCCCCTCTGTCTGGAGAGCCCCCAGCTAGACTGGGTTCCAGTGCCAGAGCGGCCGGCGGCCCCACCCTGACGGGAAGGGCAGGGGAGCTGGACGCAGGTGTTCTCACCTTCCGCGGGACACTGCCTGCACCTGCGGACGGCCCAAGCCTAGGTGTCCACCTGGGACCGGCTCCCTCGCAGGGGAAACGCTTACACTGGCAGACGCCCTGTGGCTCTGCCTGGCCCGGTGCGGTGCGTGCCCGCCTGACTGCCATCTGGTGCTGGGAGCCCCGTCCCCCGTCCACGGATCACGCGAGGCCGGGGGAGTTAGGAGAGAGAGTGGGGTAGCTCTAGGGGCAGGGTTGGGCCACTAAGTCCTCGGGCAAATGCCTGAACAGCCCCTCGCAGAAAGCGGCAGGAAAGCGGCAGCCCCGACCCTGGGCCAGAGCAGAGCCTCTGAGTTCTGTCTCCGGCCACTGGCCTGGGCGGCCGGGGTGTGGGGCTCCCCTCCTAGTGCCGTCCAGCAGCCTCTGCGGGGTCATTCCTGCCACAGCCCCAGGCCCCTTGGGTCCCCCGAGGCCCCTCCCCAGGGTCTGGTGACTCTGACCTGCCAGGTGATCCACCGGACCTGAGCCTCCTCTGCCTCAGTCTCCTCAACTGGGAAGTGGGGGTGGTTGAGCGGCCGGGCAGCCTCCGGGGCTGTCAAGGGGAACAAATGAGGCTCCACCAGGCTGCTGGGAGCGCTGGCTGCTCATGCGGCAGGAATGTGTGGGCGGAGACCCTGCGGAGGCAGCGGCCACCCGGAGGCGGGCGCGGAGAGCTGCCTTCAGCCTCCCCTTGGCGGGCACAGGTGGGAGCGCCAGGCCCAGGCGTCGGGGCATCTTCCTCTTCCTTTTCTCAGGGGTTGGCACCCGGGACGTGCCGTGGCCAGATCATAGGCCGGGCGGCAGCGTGGTCTCCCGCCGGTCCCAGGCCAGCAGGGGAGGGACGGTGGCCACACGGCCAGGACGTGACTGGCATCGGTCACACATGGCTTCTTTCAAGTGGGCTCCTGACTCACAGCAGGGCAGTGTGGCCCTTGCCGTGGCCATGAAGTGGCCAGTCAAGGGCCATGGGAGCACCCAGGTCGGGGAGGCACAGCCCCTCCATGAGGGGGACAGCACCGACCTGCCCTGGCTGGCGGGGCTCCTGGAGGGGGGCTGGGGCCGTCTTCCCAGGCACCTGTGCCGGCTGCTGAGTTGTTCTTCCCGACCTTGGCTGCAGCCTGGGCGTGTGGCCTTGAAGCCGGAGGTCCCCAGCAGCTCCCCCACGGCCCCCCTGGCCCCACCAACAATGGTGCGAGTGCTCGTTCCCGGGGGGAGTCTGTCTCTGCTTTCGTGCCCGCACAGCTTGCTGTCTGAACTGCACACACACAGCTGCTGCCTCTGCTCTTCCTTGTGTAGTCTATGCAGCCGAACCCACCCTAATTATCACAGAATTCAGCAGGCACAGAAATCAACTTACAAAAGTCAACAGAGGAGTACGTGCCTTTTAAAAAAATCCCTTCCATAACAGCTGAAAAATTCTGGATGAAATATATAAAACCAACTACCAGCTGGGCGCGGTGGCTCACGCCTGTAATCCTAGCTCTCTGGGAGGCCGAGGCGGGCGGATTGTTTGAGCTCAGGAGTTTGAGACCAGCCTGAGCAAGAGCGAGACCCCGTCTCTACTAAAATTAGAAAGAAATTAATTGGACAACTAAAAATATATAGAAAAAATTAGCCGGGCATGGTGGCACATGCCTGTAGTCCCAGCTACTCGGGAGGCTGAGGCAGGAGGATCGCTTGAGCCCAGGAGTTTGAGGTTGCTGTGAGCTAGGATGACGCCACGGCACTCTAGCCTGGGCAAAAGAGTGAGACTCTGTCTCAAAAAACAAACAAACAAACAAACAAAAAAAACCAATTACCTATATGCTCTGGGGAGTGAACAAAAGTCAGCAGATTTTGGAAGGGAATTAGTACTTAAAGGAAGATACCAGCTCGGAGCGAATTTCCCTTTTGTGTGCCCTGCCCTGCAGGTGAGAAGTGGCTCAAACACCAGCAGAACCCCCCTTCTTCCCCGGCAAGGGAAACAAAGGCCCAGAGTAACAGGGACGGGGGGGTGAGCAGAGACCCCGAACAGGAGGGACCCCACGTCTCCGCCGACGCCTGTCCGAGTGAGGCGCGTGCCGGGCCGACTGCAAGCAGCTCCGGCCAGAGACTTTTTCTAAAAAGCTGCCCGACGTGGGAGCCTCCGCCTGTCTCGGGAGCGGCAAAGTTCACAGTCGGAATCTGACCCAGTTAACGTCCAGCAAAAGCACCCACAGTCTCCTAGGAACGTAACCGGGTGCGGCGTCCGTGCACGTAGCCGTCACACGGCTCAGGAAACAGTCCCAGGGAGCGCAGGGGGGAGCTGGCCAGTTGCGCCCCACTCAAAAGGCGAAAAACAATCAGCTGGCTCACCAGATGAGTCAGACGCGAAACCCTCAGGGCAGGATTCTAGCACGATTATCACAACCATGCTCAACACGTTGCTGGGGAAAGCCCGTCCTGGATGAAGGGGTGGGAAAAGCAGAAAGCATTTCTGAGGAATGCAACGGGAAAGTGTAGGAAGGAAAGCGCAAAGGGCGAGATAAAAGGTTCCCTGGATGGCTGCGTAACGGCGGCGGACGAGAGAGTCCGCGAGTGGAGAGATCGGTCGGCAGAAATCGTCCACTGTGAAGAAGACGGAGGAAAAGGATTGAGACGCTGAACAGAGCCGCAGGGACCTGTGGGTGAGGTGGAGCCACCCGACACACGGTGACAGAGTCCCAGAA